ATAGAAAAATCGAAACAAAATCGCCTGTTTGAAATTTTGTTGGGCGTCGCGAATCTCCAAAGAAAACATCCAAACAAACTATTCAAATTTTGTTTAGTTTCATTTTTTGAATTTCGGCAACTCAACCCTCTGAGAATTTTGCTGTCTGAAATTTTGAATCCTGCTCAATTACTGCAAGCTTTCCAGGATATTTGATGTGACAAGTGACAAAGTGTCGACCACGAGCTTGCCGAAACTCCGAACAAATGGAAGCCTTGTCGTCAATGTGGATCAAGCTGGTTTCCTCTGAAGGTGAGCAAAGGATACTGAGACCGTCCAGTTTTCCACCCCAACCTGTTCCGTCCCCAGTTTGCGTGATAACGATCTTATCCATCGGCAAAGTAGTGCAAGATGCCACAACTGAACGTTTCCTCCAATCTGTATGAACGAAACTTATGACAATCACTGCCAAGCCAAGATCCTTCAGTCGCTGGATCGCAAGTCGATTTTCTTGTCGAATCTGGTGATCACCGTCAACCGGATACAGAATCCTTTGTTGGAAATCGGATGTTTGTCCAGGACGTTGTGATAATCAATCGAGATGATGCTGCGACCAAATCTCAACTGTCTTTGTGGCAAGAGATACTGACCCTGAGGTGTAAAGACGGAACAATTCCTGTCAATGAGCGATTGTCGAACAATGAATGGCTGAAATTCAATGTTGGTGCCCCCCGGAACTGATGCACTCTCTCTCCCCCACACCTGAATCAATCATGATTATTGGTGTTGCCCTTGAAGATTTTGCTGAGCTCGCGAATGAAGGTTTTGCAAGAACAATGGCAGCGGATGCTGTGGCTTTTGCAACCTTTGGTTCTGCTTAGGTGGCACTGGATTTGAAACTGTACGGACCTTTGGTCTCGGTTTCAAAATTGGCGGCTTGGCAAGTCTTGCGAAACTTTTGGTGACACCTTTGGTGGCGTTGATGGAGCTGCAATCAAATCAACTGCTTTTGCACTTGCGCGGGATTCCCCAGAAACTGCTGCACGGGATTCCCCAGAAACTGTTGCACCTGCACTTGATTCCCCAGAAAATGTAACCCTTCGAGAAAACACTGGCCTTCCACCCGTCGCCTTTGGCAAGATAAAGCTGTGTGACCCGCTTGAAGTTACTGCTGAAGAAGATGCAATCGGTTCCGGTGCAGTTGATGATGCTGAAGCTGAAGACTCAAGATTTCTCGGAGGCGGATGATCTGGCTCCGGTGGCCTGCGCCAAGGAGGTACCGCCCTCGGATCAATTGGATCCTCAGTTCCCTGCTCCAATTCCTCGTCCTCTGATTGTGGAGGATGAACACTTTCAGCGTTCTCGCTCTCAAGATCACTGTCAGTGCCCAGAATGATTGGTTCACTCCTAAGAGGAAGTCTGTTCGCAAATTTACCAGTGCTTTAGATATCCTCCACCTGCCACTTACATCTCAAGTAATTTCCCTCCCGAAGCAGTAATTGCTAACTCAAGAAGATGAAGATAATACTCGATGATGGTCAGAATGAGGGTTTCCTATGACTCTGAAATCTTCGACCTGCCCGCCCTTCTGCAATCAACCGCAAGTACTGGTCAGAGGCCTCGTTCAGGCGCGCTCCAACGTCCCCTTCAGGTCTCACTGGCGACCTTGAACGACGACGATAGTCAGAGGGCCCCGCTCTCATGAACGCAGTGAAACCCTTGCAGTCTTGCGGTGAAACAACGAGACGCGGTTGCGGTGAAACAAAGGCTAGCTATCCACTATCCACTTCGACCCAAACACGCAATCGATGTCAGGCTGTTCCAACGGACCTTTTTGGATTGGATACGATTTTCACTGGACGAACTTGAGTTCTCACTAAGTGCAATCCTTTGGATACACAAGGAGATCGGTAAAATACACCTATCAAGTTCTTCTCACTCTTGGATTCGAAATTTGATTGAGATCACTGTGGTCTTTGACAATTGCACAGGAAAATTGCTAGTGTGTTTCAGGGACAAGCAATTTTGGCTAGGTCATTCCAATGCAAACACAACGATCTGAGATGATTCGGTTATGTGGGGCTTAGTCTCAACAAGCGAATGCAAGTACTGGGCACCCGACTATGGAGGTTGGTAAACTGCTGGATCTGGCCGGTGTTGCTGAAAAGCAAAACCCCCGGCCCGGCAAAAACACGGTCCTTGGAAAGTGCTTTGCTGGCTTCAGTTGGCAAGACCTGGCTTGGTCTAGCTGACACGTCTGTGGGATAAACAAGCTCTAAACCCTCGCAACTCGATTATGGGCCTATCTGAGAAGTTAATGACACAGGCGGCGGGGTTGTGACTACCAAAGGGGCTCAGGCTTTGGGAACCACGAGATTATGAAGCAGCTTATCGTAAGCTGAGGCTGTTAACCAGCTAAATCACCCTAACACAGCCGGATTAGGCAGTGCTTGAGCCAAAAGTAAGTAGCCGCATGGCAAAACGAGAGTGACAATACCAACCTGGAAGGATGTTGATTTCATGTGTGTTTTCTCAACTATGTACACATAAAAAAATGTACATGTATATATAGATATATATTGGCTATATATATTATGTCTATATAAATATAAAAATAATGTCTATATATATATATTATGTATCTATATATATATGTGTGTGTGCGTATTCTGTATCTATATATGTATATATATATATGTATGTATATATATATATGTACATATGTATTACCTATATATATTATCTAAATATCATGTCTTTATATATTATGTGTATGTATATTATACATATATATATATGGTATGCATACTGTATATATATATATGTTATATATATATTGTGTATATACACATTATGTATGTATATAGGTTATGCATAAATAATATTTTTATGTACAGATACAAGTTATATACTATGTATATGAACTGTTTGTATATAAATAGTATGTATGTATATATATATTAGTAAGTATATATTCTATTTACAAATAATTTATTGTGTATATATAGTATGTATTTGTAGTATGTATATATACAGTATGAAAATATATTTATATTTATAGAGTATGTACATATATATTATGCACATATATATATATATATAATATGTACAGAAAGATATAGTATGTATATTTCAATATATATATATATTATAGTATATAGTATGTGTATATAGAAAGTATGTACATACATACATACATATATATATATATATATTGATTTGGTATATAAATATATTATGTATATATAGATATATTGCGTGTATCCTCTATATATATATATATTTATTTATTATCATCATTAATTATCATTATTTTTGTGTGTTTCTTATAATATATATATATACATTAAAATAGACAGCTTTATGTGTATTTTTTGTATATGCAATGCAATGTGGGAAATTGCGTGGATGCATTTTTGCTAGTTTTCTTCCGGTGAACCTGTCTATACATTTCCCGCTGCTCCTCAAGCTGCTTGTACTGGGAGTGAACTAGGCGCAGCCTCAGAACCTGCCGGTGACTGGAACGGAGGGAGCAGTGCACAACGCAAGCAATCGAACTGTGAGGGAACCAGGTACAGGGATCTTCTATCACCACTGCATCCACAGCTTACACACTATTGAAGCAAAAAGTCACAGATGACGAGAACCTTTGCCCGAACAGAAAAACACCCTGACGGCACAGTTCCATAACCGACCTCCGAGGCAATGTCTTGGATTCGCTGATTCTGCAAGTCCCTGGCAGGAGATTCAGAATATGTTGCGCATGTTGGCTATTGTAAAATGTTTTGATTAAACAGCAAAATAATATTCCCAGTCATTCCCGGTTATTCGGGTGCAACTTTCATGCACCAAGCTGGTCACCAAACCATGATCTTGTCACATCATCAGGCAAAATTCAAACAGTGGTAGGATAGCCCAAGGCAACCGCTGAATTTCAAAGAAATGTTCAGGGTTCATAATCTTGAAAATGTTGTGAGGGCCACTCGAGTCACAAGCCAAACCTATGCCACTGCTCCGCGCTGAGCCTTGAAGTTTCCTTCTTCGAAAAGTAAAATGTCAAAGCTCAGATTCGCCCAAATCCAGCAGGCAAGACACATCATTCACAGGTGCACTGACAACACTCACGACCTGAGCCAGAGAGGCTATTGCAAGATATTGCAAGCATCAAATGAACAGGTGTTCATTTGTTCAGGACACTTAGTCTGGTGCGAACTACCAAGAAATAACAAGCAGCACAGCGAAAGTTGCTGTGACCACAACGACTTGGGGCACAGCCGGCACAGCCTCGCCACAGGACATGATGTCAACCAGACCTCAGCCACCCATAGCCACCCGGTCTCCATGGTCTCCCTCTAACGGAAAAGAGTGGCCAAGGAGCTCTATCTCTTGCAACAGATGGTTAAGAAGGCACCATCGAATTATTTGATTATCTGCGGAATCAATCCTCAATTCTCAAACTGTTTTTTGATAATGAAATCATGTATTTCATCTTGATCACATTCTGAGGTGTAGTCACTGGCACTTGCCACACTTGACCGCGATCCATGAGATGCTCTGGTGCGGACATGTTATCTAGCAGGAATCTAGCATCCTGGGCATCCTAGGCTCAAGCCCATAGTGTGACATGATGGACGAACAAATCTGGAGGAGCCAACTCCTCTTTCGCAGCTCTATGTGTTTATACATATGGTTAAACAAAGGGAGTGACAAGAGCCAAGGGAAAAATATGGAAAAATGGGAATACCAAATATGCCAAGCACCAGTGAAGGGCTGTTGCTCTTGCAGCAAATGTGAGAGCTGGTAAAACTCACGTTGAAGCGTGGCGCAGGGAAAGCATCTCCTTGAAGCATTTTGAACCCATCTACGGAAGGGAGAATCCGGAACGGGCTGAGACATGGATTGCCAAAAGCCTTGCATTTGCAGATTCAAAAGAATACAATGATCTTTACTTAGATAAAAAAGTAGACATTGAACAGAGCCACCTGAGTTCAAAATTAAGCTATCACACAATGAAAGTGCATGCATTATGCAATGTCCTTTCATGATTGATCCTCTTAGTCATCCAGAGAAGATTGCTTAGTTTCCAGCACATCTGCTCCGCAACAGAAGCCTTTCTCTGGATGGCGGGGAACAGAGACAACTACCTTTGCGTCGCCTATCAAGTCTGTCCCCGTGGCCGTGGCACGGCAGGTGTCTGCATTAATTCACAAGCCGTGCCAAGGGGAACAGCCCGCACCTATTTACAATGGCCCAGAAATGTGGACTTGGAACCAAACGCAACAACTGACTGCAGAACCGGAAAACAAGACTGAAATTCCGAATGTCCAGAGTTCTCTCAAAGCTGCCTCTTTTGGGTCCAGGTGAGAAATCTTGGAGGTGGCCCAGCTCACTGCTGCTCGGACATGGGATGAGACCGTGGTACCCACGAACGTCGGCTCGCAGAGGATCCGGCGGCATCCCCAACACCGCCTGCGTCCAATCTGGCGACGGTTTCATTCAAACAGAAGGAAAAAAAAGCCGTGCTGCAACGGTTGGGCCAATGGCAACAAACAACGAAGTCCAAGCACTGGATTCTGGGATTACAGATCTTGTTATGCACCATTTGTGGTCGCCACAAAACCAGCAACTGGTTATAGCTGGTCAAGCCTGAATAGCCCGCTTGGCTTGCTTGATTCAATAGGAAGGCTCGACCTGAGTCTGAACATGGAAGTCGAACCTCAGATGCTAAGCACTCTTCTAGCAATCCACATCCTGATTGATACTCACGGATAGAGAGAGAGAGAGAGAGGGTCCCAGAACATTCAGACGGAAACTTTGACTAGATTATGTTCCGCAAGAGTAAAGAACGACAACCAGGTTCCAATGGTCAGATCACTTGCTTGGCTCCCTGCCCAAGCACTCTTGCTCCAGTGAACCACGGATACAAACAAAGCCATCTGGACCTAGGCCCACACTAGTCAGGATATGTCAGGACATTGTGACCCTACTCCTTCACGCAGCTCCAAGCACACACTTTGAATCAGAAATGTGGCAACTTTTGCGCACATTTCTTAACCACGAAAATGACTGAAACATTCTACCCACAAAAATGTGACCAGGAAAGCTAGAAATCAACAAACTCAAGACCTATTTGGTTTTACCAGGAGATTGCCACGCAATCTGTTTACGATGAAGCTGCACAACAATTTAACAGAATGTCCAGACTCATCATATTAATATGGATGGGAGCCGGTAAAAATTGAAGACCCACAGGCCCGAGAATTGGGGCCGCTATCGGTTCTATACAAGTGACCATTCCATCTTTAGGGCACCAACATTTTGATCCGTACCAAAGTCATCCAAAGTCTTTAAAATGATTCTGTGTGAGAAATGAAATATACAGTGCATATGAGCACCAGGCCCAGATATCTGTGAATTTCGCCCGGGGCCAAGAAGTCATGCCATCCTCTGTCTAAGCGATTGGCCTCCAGCTTTACATGAGACAAACAAGTCAATCGTGCTCAGAAGATAGAGAAGCGCAAGGATTTCGAAACTGTGGTTCTGCTTGTCATGATCGATCCCGAGGACTTTCTAATTTGGTGCAACTCTTCTTTGTTAGCCAACTTTGATGCCTCTAGATTCAGATCCAGTGACGCAATGGTTCTGCTAATGTGCCAACGACACAATGACGGTGGCTGCACAAACAGAACAATGATATGTGAGTGAATGAATGAATGAATGAATGAATGAATGAATGAATGAATGAATGAATGAATGAATGAATGAATGAATGAATGAATGAATGAATGAATGAATGAATGAATCAATCAATCAATGAATCAATCAATCAATCAATCAAATCAATCAATCAATCAATCAAATCAATCAATCAATCACTCAATCAATCAATCAATCAATCAATCAATGAATCAATGAATCAATGAATCAATGAATCAATGAATGAAGGAATGAAGGAATGAAGGAATGAAGGAATGAAGGAATGAAGGAATGAAGGAATGAAGGAATGAAGGAATGAAGGAATGAAGGAACGAAGGAACGAAGGAAGGAACGAAGGAACGAAGGAACGAAGGAACGAAGGAAGGAAGGAACGAACGAACGAACGAACGAAGGAACGAAGGAACGAAGGAACGAAGGAACGAAGGAACGAAGGACGAAGGAACGAACGAACGAAGGAACGAAGGAACGAAGGAACGAAGGAACGAAGGAACGAAGGACGAAGAAACGAAGGAACGAACGAACGAACGAACGAAAGAACGAATAAATGACTGAATGACTGGCTTTGAATGAATGAATGAATGAATGAATGAACGAACGAACGAATGAATGACTGAATGACTGAATGACTGAATGACTGAATGACTGACTGACTGACTGAATGAACGAACGAACGAATGAATGAATGAATGAATGAAGGAATGAAGGAACGAAGGAACGAATGAATGAATGAATGAATGCATGAATGAATGAATGAATGAATGAACGAACGAAGGAACGAACGAAGGAAAGAAGGAACGAAGGAACGAAGGAACGCAGGAACGAATGAATGAATGAATGCATGAATGAATGAATGAATGAATGAACGAACGAACGAATGAATGACTGACTGACTGACTGAATGACTGAATGACTGAATGACTGAATGAATGACTGAATGACTGAATGACTGAATGACTGAATGACTGACTGACTGACTGAATAAATGAATGAATGAACGAATGAACGAATGAACGAATGAACGAACGAACGAACGAAGGAAGGTATGTATGTATGTATGTATGTATGTATGTATGTATGCATGCATGCATGTATGCATGCACGTAAGGATTTCAAGATGCATATTTCCCTGACTTTGTTGTAAAATCTTGCGAATAGACACAACAAAAGAAAAATGACGTGGCTGCAGTGGCTGCAGCTCGACTGCAGCTCGGCTGCAGCTCGGCTGCAGCTTGGCTGCCTTGAATGTCCACAAGTCGCTCTTCTTCTTTGCAGCCCAGGTTTCGCCAGAGCCTGAAAAAAGAGAAAACACTCAACTCACTCTACACATACAAAATCACGGAGGGTGCCACTTGACAAAAAGGTATCAAAGCATGTCAACGTTATCATGGAAGCAAGCATGACTACAAGGCACAAGTTTGGATGGCACAATTATGCTGCACACCTAAGAATTCCCTACGAAAAGTCCAGCACTAGCAATGCCGACCATTTCTCCCGCTGCCGTCTGCAAAATGCAAAGCCTGATGGCCATCTGATGCACGCAATGCCGTACCTGAACGATTCTTGAAGTGGAAGCAACTGAAGAAAACCAGCTTTCAGTTTTCTCAAGTGGTTGCCGAGGTGCTTTCAGCCGCTTGGGAGATATCAAAGTCTGGAAAGGAAGTCAAAACCAGAATGCCACAAAATAAGCTTCGGTGGTATCCCCAACAGCCGCAACGTTTTATTATATTTTACAAATCTTTCTGAAGCGTGCTGCAAAGCCAAGCGCTGGGTTTCCATGAAATAAATGAACCTGACCTGGCTTGGCTTCTGCAACCTTCTCCGGAACCCGTTAAACTTGACTTGGTTTTGCACCAAGGCTTCCTGGAACCTTCTCCGGAACCTTCTCCAGAACCCTGTTGAACCTGACCTGGCTCTGCACCAAAGCCTCCCACACCTTCTCCGGAACCTTCTCCGAAACCCTGTTGAACCTGACCTGGCTCTGCACCAAAGCCTCCCACACCTTCTCCGGAACCTTCTCCAGAACCAGTTGAACCTGACCTGGCTTATCCTGGCTCTGCACCAAGGCTTCCTGGAACCTTCTCCGGAACCTTCCTGACCTGGCTCTGTACCAAAGCTTCCCGCAACCTTCTCCGGAACCTTCTCCGAAACCCTGCTGAACCTGACCTGGCTCTGCATCAAAGCCTCCCAGACCTTCTCCGGAACCTTCTCCGGAACCCTGTTGAACCTGACCTGGCTCTGGCACCAAAGCCTCGGAACTTTCTTTGGAACCCTGTTAAACGTGGCCTGCCTCCAAAGCATCTCGGAACCTTTTCCGGAACCTTCTCCAGAACCTGTTGAACCTGACTTGGTTTTGCACCAAGGCTTCCTGAAACCTTCTCCGGAACCTTCTCCGGAACCCTGTTGAACCTGACCTGGCTCTGCACCAAAGCCTCCCAGACCTTCTCGGGAACCTTCTCCGAAACCTTCTCCGCAGCCTGCTGAACCTGACTTGGCTTTGCTTCAAGGCTTCCTTGGAACCTTCTCCGCAACCTTCTCCGGAACTCTGTGGAACCTTCCTGGAACCTTCTCCGGAACCTTCTCTGCACCAAAGCCTCCCAGACCTTCTCCGGAACCTTCTCCGGAACCCTGTTGAACCTGACCTGGCTCTGCACCAAAGCCTCCCAGATCTTCTCCGGAACCTAACCTCGTTGAACCTGACCCGGCGCCTGCACCAGTGCACACCGGAGCTATTCTGGGCTGAAGACCCCATTAGCTTACGCTGTTGGGGAAAAACACTCTGTCAATCGAATGACAGCTCCAAGGGCGCCGGATGTTGGCAAACTCCCAGTCTCGTGGCCAGCTCGGCTGAGGAACTGCCTGCCACCGGTGCATCCACCATATCCAACCGGAAAATGTCCCAAAGCTTGTTAACGCACCTCCAGAAACACCGACAGCGAGCCCCTGGCCACAGCAAGACAGCTATCCCAACACTGCAGTGTAAAAATGTTCGACAGCTCCGACCTCGCAACACCAGTGTCTGTTCCGGCGGGAAAGACCAGCACCTGCCAAGTTGAGATACAACATCCAACTTGTAAGGACTCCAAGAGGCTCCGAATGGCTCCCACAGAGTCCCTTTTTTCAGTCTCTGACGCGAAGGACGACATCGCCAATGCGCTTCGGCTGGGAACGCAGAGCCTTCCATTCATGATCTGTCACTCACCGCCTTTTAGGAAGACTTCATGGGATTCTTGGGGTCCAGAACATTGATAGGATTTGAAGTGCGATGTTGGGCGTCTAAACCCTTGTAGTTCCAGCATGGAAGCCTATACAGCAATGTCAAGCCAGAGTAAAGCATATCCACAACATGCTCAAGTCTGAAACTGCCTCCCCGCATGCATACTGCTCCTGAGTGCCGAACAAAGCAGGCGCTAGCGCGAAAAATCACTTCCAGCTTCGCCGAGTAAAGAACAACAAAAAAAAATCACTCTCTCATGTTTCTACCCCAATGCTCGTCTTTCCAAAATGATCCCTCTGTTTGTTCGCCGTTCTATCTTCATCCCGAGAGTCCGAATGTGCGTAGTGAAAGCAAAAATCGATCTCCGTTGAGGTTGGTGGCGGCCTGAATTCATGAATTCAGATGAACGGCCAGCTTCAGCTGATCCCCGCCTGGGAAATGGGAAGGTTCTCAGACCCAGGCACTCCAGGTGGTAGGATCGGACGTCGGGGTACCTGCTGAGTGGATCCGTTGATCCCAAGTACTTCACTGCCTCTGTGGCGCAACAAACCGTACTCGGCGCCACAGCGCACCAGACTGTTCATGTATCCCATTGAGCCAAAGGCCTCAGCACCTGCAATCGTTCAAAGTTAGGGTTAGACACCCAATGAATCCCAATGACTCATGTCTACTAAGTCATGACTAAGTCATTTTAGCATCAAATGGATCAAACAGCGACTCGCCTCCCAGGTCGAATCTTGTTGTTCTCACCTCAAGAAATCTCGTTGCACACTCGACTCTCCCTCTTAGACTCTTAGACTGTTTTAAGAAGATCCAGTCACCCATTTCCAAGGAGACTGCTGTGAGTGCGCGTTGGGTCACCTGTCGCAGGTTAGTAAACTGATTTGCTTCACACGCAGATTTGATCAAAGCGCGCCTCAGGCTTCAGAAGGCTGTTTCCCAGAGCAAGGGCCTGTGGTGGCGCCAGAAAGACACAGCATGGAATAGAAGTGCAGCATAGCCAGCATAGCATTGGCTCAACGCTCGGCAACATGTTGTTTTTGCACATGTCCCTGCCTGGGCAAATTTTGTGGAACTGAGGAACGCCCATCGAACTTGATCCCACAAGGCCTGTCAAATTGCTGCTCACACGTCTTGAGCCGCTGAGAGAATCAGTCAGTCCAAAATGGCCAAGACTTGACTAAATTGCCGAAATTGAATCTGATTGGACAAGATGTGACAAGATATGACGATCTGTCAAAATTCCTGCCCGTCTTGTCATATCCGCATCCGCAGCTACTCTGTCATGCTTAGTCCTCTTCATCATCCGAATCTTCGCCGTCTTGACGTTCTGGAGTGGAAGCCTGCAGCATCAGCAAAGGTCTTAGGTCTCAAGCCATGTCTGATAACTTTCTCCAAATGATTTCGCATGTCTTTGCTTGCACGAAGACAAAGTCACCTATGTATGTTTTGGGTTTTCAAAATCTTTCAAACGTGGGTCTGCAAAGGCAATTGTCAACGCGGCTCCCTTGTTTGGCGTTGTGCAGTGGTGCTGCACCCACATCTTCCCGAGTGTTTCACGATGGAAAACAATAATACAGCAGAGCAGCACAACCAGCACTGGCGAAAGAGTTATACAGTCAGGTGCAGTGAGTCAATGTGGCAAGCATCAAAAATTACTGGAAAATCAAACATTGCGAAGGTAGTTGGAAGCCGGGACTCACCATATATTTCCTATTTCTATAGACCTCAGATGTCTGTCATTCCCATATATAACGGTTTGCCTCTGCTTGTATGAGTTACAAGTTGCAAAATAAGTGAAGCTATAATGGTTGCTATAGATATATGACAGTATATTGGCCAAAAGATATTGAAAGTCTATTGAAAGTCCTATGTTTGTGACAGCTTGAGTATCTTCGCATATCTTCGCCTTCTCGCCGTCACTAGGACGTGGATCTTTCTCGTTGGGACCGTTGGGACCTTGACGGCAGCGCAGCTGGGCAGCTGGGCAGCTGGGCAGGACCCGACCGTAGGACCGTCCAAGACTTGCACCGTCCGACTCGAGCTCTCCGTGCAAGCGAGACAAAACGAAGTCAAATACCACATCCTGACGTCATTTGACGTGGAACATGGTGGAAATCGTGGAACAAAAGAATACGCCATGCATCAAAAGCAAAGCCCGCACAGCCCTACAAAGAATATCTGGAGGATTTTATAAGACTTCCTACATTTTCCAGCCACTGACACAGTCCTCACTGGCTACCAGCAGCTCATCTGCTTGTAAGATCTCCACCAAGACTCGAGCAGGTAGTCGCCTCGGTGGCAACTCCTACCAAACACAAAGAACCTAGGATATCGAAGATATCTTAGATATCTAATCTAAGCTACTGACAGCAGAGCAGTCTTCATCTCAGCGTTGGTGAGGAAAGGTTGAAACCTGAGGTCCACTTCAGGTCAGAGTCAGAGGTCACAGTCGCCAGCCTTGACGCCGCCACAAAAAGCACTTGGAATGGGACTTTCGAACGATGAGATCCACAGCCCCGTCACGAATTTGGCGAAGTGCTGCACCTTTCACAGGCGGTACTGACTCGAAGCGTTCCTCATACCCGGACGTCTATATATATATATACAAACATACATACATACATCCATACATCCATACATCCATACATCCATACATCCATACATCCATACATCCATACATCCATACATCCATACATCCATACATCCATACATCCATACATCCATACATCCATACATACATACATACATACATACGTACGTACCTACGTACATACATACATTACATTACATGACATTACATGACATTACATGACATTACATTACATTACATTACATACATGCATACATACATACATATTATTTGATATTATTTGATATTATTATTTGATATTATATTATGTTATTTTATGTTATTTCATATCATGTTATATAATAGTATGTTATATAATATTATATTATATTATGTTATATCATATTATGTTATATTGTATTATGTTATATAATATTATATTATATTATGTTATATCATATTATGTTATATTATATTATGTTGTATAATATTATATTATATTATATTATATTATTGTATGTTATGTTATATTACAATTATATTATATTGAATTATATTATATTAGATTATATTGAATATATATATATGTGATATATATATAATATACTATTTATTTATCATATATATATATATATTATCATATATATTATATATATTATATATTATATATTATATATTATATGTTATGTTATATATATCATATTATATATATATATATCATATATCATGCTTACAATCAAAAATGTACATCTATATATAATATATATACGTATGTGTACATATATATATATATATATGTGCACAGCATTTACACCCTGTATTAACTTAAATCAACTTGTATCACCTTACATCATGTTATATTCAACTCGCATCAACTTATCATCATTCTCCCAACATGATTGTGGAGGCGCAGTATTAACACATCTTGGGCTCGTACCATCATCTGTGCCCGGAATGTGAAAGCGACAGTATTGTTCAAGCAGCAAAGGTGCAGTGTCCTCAAAAGCTGCCTCCAGGCCACAAACTCAGCAAATTGGCATCGTTGGGAAGCATGCAAGCAGGTCATCTGTGGATCACAGCTGCTCCATGGGCGCCTCAATGCGGCGACCCATGGCTTCAAAAAGGCTGCTGATTTGGAGAATATCCGCAATCTTCAGCAGGAGAAGAGCCTGTCGCACAGCACACTGTAGCACAATACAACCGACTGCGATCAAGGGCCCGGGCACTCCACGCCTTGGATGCAGGCGCCTCAAAGGCAGCCTGGTTCTCCGAGTACATGAAATCCAAGGCATCCTCGACAGAATTTGGATCTTTTTTCTGGCTTACAGCTTGTCCCATGCTATCACTGGCCCTGCTGCATGCCCCTAGACCCAAGACTCCTCAAAGGCTGAATGACAAGATGTAGGCAGGACCTTAGTTCCATGAACTGCTCCTCCCAGTCACTGTGATTTTAAAAAGAAAGTACCCAAAGTGCCGATCACAATCACAGAAATCATGACGACGGGGCGAGCAACAAGAGATAACAAAGATGAAGAAGACTACTGCGATGTCGATGAGAACTAGAAAGAGCATGGAACTGACAACAAGAAAAAAACAAACAACATTGGAGGAAAGGAACAGCTGTTGAGGAACAAGCACTTGGTTGTTTTGGATCTCCAAGCCTCTGGATAAAGCACCCCTTGAACCCACGAAATGACTTTGACCCCCGACCTCAGTGAGGTCACTTCCTTTGGCATTGCCCTGTTCAGCACGAGCTGCAATACCTTGGGAACAGAACATCCGTGGCAAAGCTGGAAGATTTTTTTTTTCTCTGTTCAAGGATACCAAAATAAGATCCCCAACAGCCGCAACGTGGAATTTTTACAAATCTTTCTGAAGCGTGCTGCAACCCAAGCGCTAGAAATACCTCAGCTGGGTCTGCACCAAAGCCTCCCAGTGCCTCCCAGACCTTCTCCGGAACCTTCTCCGGAACCCTGTTGAACCTGACCTGGCTCTGCACCAAAGCCTCCCAGACCTTCACCGGAACCTTTTCCGGAGCAAAGCAGAAACAGGATTTTATTAGGACCATCACGTTTTGCGTCAGCCATTTGAGGAAGTATTAAATTGTACCTTCCTCCTTTCATTTCCTTGCGGGAACTGTGCGAAAAATTTGAGGAGGCGGCTGTAGCCGTGAAACTAGCTTCTGGTCACACGCTCAATGCCGTGCACTCCACCCCAAACGCAACCTGATGGTGGCTGCAAGTTGAGTGCCACACTCATATGACTTTCGAAGAAGAGGGATGCTCGAGCCTTGGAATCATGGGACATCTGTACGTTGGAAAGAAGGATCATGCTCAGAGTTTGTGTGCAAAACCACACAGCACTGGCTCTCCCAAGGTATGTGAACAACGCTGGAACAAACACTTTTCCTGTTGGTGGCAAACAAGAAATCAATTGCTGAGGTCCAATCCAGCAGAAAAGCATGCAAATGATAAAACTTCTCTCCAACCTGCGACAGTGGTGAAGGGTGGACCAGTCATCGACCCATCTAGTCATTCCACCTTAAATGTGCAGGACGGTGTCAGAAAAATGAACTTGTTTCGAGGTGGAACATCTTCTGAAGATTTGCGGTCATTGTCTTTGCGGACGTGCATTGCAATCTACCGAAGCAGAACCGAGCGGTGAAGCGCTTGGTCGGTAGCAGCTGGTCCGTACAAAGGCTGATTCATCTTGCTCTTGTTACTCCCAGAGTTAAGAATGTCAACATATGCAACCACGCAGACCTAGCCTTTCACTTCTGGATTTAGGTTCACAAGGCATCATCAGTTTGCCTTGATTTATATTAATATGCAAAGCCCAAAGCCTTGGATTTGTATTCCGTCTATGTTGAGCGAGTGAGATGTCATGTTTTGTCTTTTCCCACTGTTCACCCCATTCACTTATCCTGCTTTTCCTGCTTTGCTTTCATTTATCGAGCTATGTTCACAGTTTGAAGGCTATAGGCGGCATTTCCAAGTGATCAGGATCAGGTCTCACGACAAAATCGAGTGTTCTCTTGTTTCATGTCTATCAGGTTATTTCCATGTCTTAGTTTTATCTTTTCTCTGTCTGTAATCTGTGTGGCATACAACCTCCGAGTAACACCTTCATTTTTTTCGAAGGAGGTGCAAGCAGTCTGGTATGGAGCCAGAAGGGCCATATGTGCAAAACAAAAGTCACAAAATAAGATCACGACCAGTCGAATCGGTAGAAAGTGAAGGGTTTCCCTAAGCCCTAAGCGTCGTCCTTGAAGCTCCTTAACATGCCCCAAACTGTTTCCAGTCCAACCTGAACCGTCCAATCGGAAAATCGGGCATCTCGCCATGACCTTTTGGCTCAAGGCTTCCAGGTCTTTGCGAAGCAAGCAATCATTTAGATCCTTTTAGATCAGTTTAGTCATTTGACATTTAACCATTTGTGCTGCAACGCTTGTTCAGAGTTCCAAACAGGGACGTCATGCTGCCAGAACCTTGGTCGTGGTCAGAATCATAACGAGATGTCTGGCATGTCCCCATTTCTCACTATCGCAGAATATCGCAGAATGACAAATGGTGTGCTTCTAATGTGATTATCTGAAGCCAATCAAACAAGAGTTGAAAATGGCAGCACAAAATCTGAGCATTTCACCTCCACTAAAACTGAGACCCAAAGCTCCTTTTGGACCTGGCAATCGCACCAAATGTGCACCAAAATCATCAAAACGATTCAAAACCAACAAAATTCATGGGACACTGTCGGACACTGACACCCCCGCCTGCTGAAACATTGGTCATGTTTGCCCCCACAGAGTTCTCTGAAGAACCTAGGTCAATTGCACTGGACTCAATTTGTTTAAGAAACCTGAGCAGAGGGAAATGAAAGCTAGCAATACAGTAAGTGGAGTGGAAATGGGTTGGAAGGGAAGAGACTGAGGACAGGAATTTGGAGACGCCAGTGCGGTTCCATGGGCGTAATCTGCCTTTTTTGGGTAAGAAAAAAATACGAAACACACTTGCAAAAGAGAGGTATATAAGCAAGAAAAGGAGAAGTGGGGGAGACAGAAGTTGGAGCGTGACGTAAGGAATTGAATTTTCTGTCAATGTGGTACCGACTGGCGTGCGCTGTAAGTGTGTGTGTGTGTGTGTCGGTTCATTAAAAATGTTGTTGATGACAATTGCATAAGGAGCTCAGCAACATGGCTGAGCACACAAAGGAAACCTGTGACAGCCAGCTGGAGGAATGTTGTCATTGCACGATACACTGGATTAATCATAGTATTAAGTTGTTTGAAACAGGACAGCAGGTGGAGAAAGGGATGAAAGTAAGGGGTAGAGCAAGAGAAATTTTGCAGGACGGCACAGGAGCGAGGGTGAGATTTGCAGCGATGAGTGTGCGGAAAGTGGAGATGTGGGGTAAAGAGCGTGGGAAAGGAGGAAGGAAAATAGTTTACAAGGGGATTTTTGAGGATTCAAAACAGAAAAATGGCAGAAAGTCAATGCTACACATGACCGCAAACTATTTACTCCAACAAAGCTGCAAAAAAAACAACGGACTGCATCCCAACGACGCAAAAAGGTTCATTCACTCAGCCACTCATTCACTGAATCGTTCAATCAATCAAACACTGATCTCAGTCAGCAACCTTTCCATCATCTTTTGTTTGCCCCGAGTTTGGGATACTTAATTACTTCACCCAAAAAATATAGAATAAGTTTGGTACTGGAATGTCACGCAAAAAAATCGAAAGGGCCAAGTTCGCAACTTGCTTCTGGTCCAAGGTATGGTGCAGGCGGAGCTGAGTTATCCCAATGGTCCTCCGCACCGAAACATCCGACCAAAACACATCCAGAACCCAACGCATCACGTCGCATGTCACATTGTTCAATTTCAAAAACATGCATTCCACATCATGTGGCACCTCTTCATCACTCCCGTCCATTGGTGCCAAAGAAGGACTGATTTTTCGTTTGAAAGAAGCTGCGAGGATACGAACCGAAAACATGCAATTGTCAAAGTTTGCAAACTCACTGATAAATTCGTTTCAGCAAAACCAAACCTGCCAGTTTGAATCGAAAGTTGCAACGCCCAAAAAAAAATGTTGTCTATTAAAATGGTACTTTCGAAATTTATATGGTTGATCTGGTGTAAATGCATCAGTAATCGACGCGGTTTTTTCCATGTCACATGTTGCACACGAACGCGCGCGGCTAAAAATTAGAAATCGTCCAATGGCCGTAGATAAAACAAAAAAACACATGTTTATCCCGAAAAAATGCGCCAAAGGCTGCTGTCATTCCACTGTTTCAACAAAAAATTATGTACAACAAAACTGCGTACATGTTTCTATATGGTGGTTGGAACATGTACCTGCAAACGTGCCTTTTCTTTCATCATTGCATTTGCAGGAAACATTTGCATTTTGCCCGAAAAATCCAAGCGTCTATTACACTGTCATTTTGATGGCATGTGTTCACTTTTTGGTGCGTGTTTCCCACAACAAATTAAAGGACCGGATAACCCCACATGTCAACTTCTTCCAAATAGCAGCCAAAGAAAGGCGAAGATGGGATGGGAAAGGCAGGAAAGAGGCAAGAGATGGTGAAGGATCGGCGTGTGCAAAAAATGTGTGTCAAAGGCAGGTGCGTGAAACGTGTGTATGCAATAGTGTGTAAAAGTGGGGTGTATGTGTGTGATACAATCGTGCGTGAAAGTGCGTGTGTATGTGTATGCATGTGCGTATGTGTGCGTTGTGTGGCCACCTAAATGCATGCGTATGTGTGCGTATGTGTGCCTATGTGTGCCTATGTGTGCGTATGTATGTATGTATGTATGTATGTATGCATGCATGCATGCATGCATGCATGGATGTCTGTATGTTTGTATGTATGTATGTATGTATGTATGCATGGATGTATGTATGTATGTATGTATGTTTGTCTGTATGTGTGTATGTGTGTATGTGTGTATGTGTGTATGTGTGTATGTATGTATGTATGTATGTATGTATGTATGTATGTATGTATGTAGGTAGGTAGGTAGGTAGGTATGTAGGTATGTAGGTATGTAGGTATGTAGGTATGTAGGTATGTAGGTATGTAGGTATGTAGGTATGTAGGTATGTAGGTATGTATGTATGTATGTAGCCAAAACCGGAATACCAAGACCATGAGTAGAGGTGAATGGCAACAGCCGGCCTGCACCAGAGCCAGCCCAGTGCCGTAAGTGCCACTCCTGCCACACAAAGTGAAGGTCCATGTCACCAAGTGCCACGCATGCCACGCAAAGTGAAGGTCGCTGTCACCAAGTGCCACGCCTGCCACGCAAACAGCTGCGGCACCCGCCAGACCCAAGCGCGGGGCCGAAAGTTATCAGCGGTGGGGCCCAGTTTGGCTTTAGGGATCCACGCTTGTACTGAACATGGTGGCGGGGTAGCATTTCGGCAAATATCTTCGAAATGTGTAGTCATTGCTTCGGCCGCGGTCGTGGGTCTGAGTCTCCATGCTGCATAGGGAATACCATCAGGACCAGGAGCAGAGTCATTGGTCATCAGAATGGACTTCATTAAATCTTCTCGTGTCGGTGGAAGGATATGAGGCCAGGTGGTGATCTGCTGTTTGTACTGCGCCAATACGGGGTCCACTGAGGGTCGTAAGTCACTGGTGGTTCAAACCAGAATTGGCGAGTCGCAAGCATGGCCGCTGAAAGCTCCAGGTCGGTGCGGCACTGGTTACCCGCGCCATCAAAGATCGGGCCATTATAGAAGACAGCACCCGGCAGCTCGCTCGAAGGCGTTTCCACAGGGGTGCACTAGTGCCAAGGCCTCGACCCCGGTTAATCTCATCTCTGTTACGCGTGATGATATGTTGCTGTTGAATTTGTAAATCAAGTAACTCGAAGCACTTCCAAAGGAAGGTCCGAGGCACAGTGATTGTGGTGGGTGATTGACAAAATTCTGCTAATGTAGGCGTGAATCCAGGCAAGGCAGCTATGAGTTCATCCACTAATCGTTTGGGTAAATTGAGAACAGGCTGTTCCGCTTGGAGATACTTGCGTAGGATATTGAAGTCCCGTGGTCTTTGTGGCAGGGACATCCACCATTGCCAGATGGCCGTCTGTAGAGATTCAAATGTGGGATGGGCAATTAAGGCTAATCTTCGGATCAGGGACTGAAGCGACGGCAATACTTTTCGTGAGTCATGCTGGTCCTTTCCAGGCAGGAATGGTCATGTGGGTCGGCAAGTCAGAGCTACTAATCACTGGGGGTCTATGGCTTAGTTTGATGGTGATACTTGCATGACCCGAGGAATCAAAAAATCTGTCGTAGTAGGCCTGGCACTGTATCAGTCCTCTGTTCATATATTCCATAGGCAGGACAACTCTGTCCAAGGAAGAGGAGCCATTGGGGCCCCAAAAGGTGGGTTCGTCGCCTACGATGTCCTCTCCTTGTACAGCCTCTGTGATCCGTTGCCAGATATCGGGAAAGAGTGCGTCGCCTTGGTTGAAGTCTCCTAACAGGAAGCACGGGTCGTCTCCAAGACAGTGAGCATGCAACCATTGTGAAATGGTCTCGCAGTCAATGCGAACAGTTTGGGGGTGACAGTAGACAGAGAGGACCCAAAATTGGTCTGTTCTTGTCTGCACTTGAGCGGCAATGGCTTTACCAGGGAGAATTTCTTTCTGAAGGAGGCGGAAAGCACAGGGCATGATGATTGCTACCCCGCCGGACAATCCTCCTCGCTCAGTTACATTGGCAGGCGAATGTGCTATTGTGAAACCAGGATAGGTTCGCAAAAAAATTGTCGCAGTGCCTTCGCTCCATCTTGTTTCCTGTATGCATACTATTCCTTTGCGGGCATATCTCAATATAGCCTTGGCCTTGGGGTTGTTCCACTGCAGGGGGCGCCAGCCGGATACATTCCAAGTAACGACTTGAGAGGGGGGGGACGAAAGGTAGGGGGAAAAGACAGGAGGGAGAGGCAAGAGAAGGTGCGACTGTTTGTAACGCAAGCACGCCGACGACGACGACTACTACTACTACTACGACGACTACTACTACTACTACTACTACGACTACTACTACTACTACTATGACGACTACTAGTACTAGTACTAGTACTACTAGTACTACTACTACTACTACTACTAATACTAGTACTACTACTACTACTACTACTACTACTACTACTACTATGAGGACTACTACTACTACTACTACTATGAGGTCTACTACTACTACTATGAGGACTACTACTATGAGGTCTACTACTACTACTATGATGACTACTACTACGACGACGACTACTACTACTACTACTACGACGACGACTACTTCTACTACTACGACTACTACTACTATGACGACGACGACTACTACTACTACTACTACCACTACCACTACTACTACTACTACTACTACTACTACTACTACTACTACTACTACTACTACTACTACTACTACTACTACGGCTACTACTATTACGACGACGACTACTACTACTACTGCTACTACTACTACTACTACTATTACTATTACTATTCCTTCTACTACTACGACTGCTACTACTACTACTACTACTACTACTACCACTACCACTACCACTACCACTACCACTACCACTACCACTACCACTACCACTGCCACTGCCACTGCCACTGCTACTGCTACTACTACTACTACTACTACTACGCCCAGGCCCGTTACACTTTACATTCAATTGGGAAGATCAACAAGGGTATTAGGGAATATTAAACTCCCACCCCTGTTAAACTTTAGATTGAATTGGGAAGATCAACAAGGGTATTAGGGAATATTAAACTCCCACCCCCGTTAAACTTTGCATTCAATTGGGAAGATCAACAAGGGTATTAGGGAATATTAAACTCCCACCCCGGTTAAACTTTACATTCAATTGCGAAGATCAACAAGCGGATTCATGACTTCGTGGAAATTGCGTTGAAGAGTTTGCCGATTTCTAACGTTAGATGTATAAGGTAGGCATTTTGGACAAGAATCGGTTGGAAATAAACTTTTGGAGTTTGAAAAGCTCACCCAAGCAGCTGGAATGTTTGTGTGCTTGTTGTTGGTGAATCGTTATTCTTGTAGGTATACCGTGTTGTCAGCACGCGGACTCGTTGGACGGGCCTCCAGGGAGTCGACTGAGCTAGTTGTTGACGCTGTGGAGGCGCTTCCGCCACGACTACATAAAGTATCGTTTTTTGTTCTGTACAATGACGTTCCGAACTCCGAATAAGTGGGCCCGGCGCAGGGGCCTCCAAAGGGTCAACCAAGTGAGGGGTTGACTCTGTGGAGGCTCTCCCACCGGGTCCACAGAAACTATTGTTTTTGGTTAGTTGTTGCCTTTGTGATTTCTAGCAAGTTTACATAAAGTCCAACCGGGTCCACAGAAACTAATGTTTTTGGTTAGTTGTTGACCTTGTGATTTCTACCAAGTATACATAAAATATCGTTTTTTGTTCTGTACAATTACGTTCCGAACTCCGAATAGGTGGGCCCGGTGGAGGGGCCTCCAGAGGGTCAGCCAAGTGAGGAGTTGACTCTGTGGAGGCTCTCCCACCGGGTCCACAGAAACTATTGTTTTTGGTTAGTTGTTGACTTCTTGTGATTTCTAGCAAGTTTACATAAAGTCCAACCGGGTCCACAGAAACTAATGTTTTTGGTTAGTTGTTGACCTTGTGATTTCTACTAAGTATACATAAAGTATCGTTTTTTGTTCTGTACAAGTACGCTCCGAACTCCGAATACGTGGACCCGGTGGAGGGGCCTCCAGAGGGTCAACCAAGTTAGGGGTTGACTCTGTGGAGGTTCTCCCACTAACAAGGGTATTAGGGAATATTAAACTCCCACCCCGGTTAAACTTTACATTGAATTGGGAAGATCAACGAGCGTATTAGGGAAAATTAAACTCCCACCCCCGTTAAACTTTGCATTCAATTGGGAAGATCAACAAATGTA